AGGGGCCCAGCATAAGGTGGGGGTGGCGTAGTATGGTAGAAATGAAGACTGCTGCCCCGGGACTCTGGTGAAGGAAATCCGGGGTCCGGTGGAAGTAGAACTGCCGGGCTGATACTGCTCCAAGAAGTTGGGTAAATGTTGTGTAGTAATCTGAGGCTGTGTAGCTGGTCCGCTGCAGTGATCTTCTTGTGCGCCTGTTAAAATATTTTTTGATCAATCCTCTCTAGGCTCTTCACCTGAAAGCCATCTGCACAGAGAATAAATAAGAAATTTTAGAACATGAGTTATAACAAAAAATTAATAAAAATGCACACAGTAACAATAAAATATACAGTGAAGTAAAATGCAGGGAAGTAAAAAAAAATGCGGGTGCAAGTAACAATAAGATAAATGCGGTGAGTTTAAAAGATTTTAATTTACCTTATGTTAACTCATCATTGTTAATCACTTTCATAAGATGATACATTTTCCAGCACTATCAGATTTATCATTACTTTCTCTATGGTTAGATCTTACTCCTTAACTGCAACTCGCTCTCATTTAATTCCTGATTTGGTCATCTACATTGATTGAGGAAAGATTTTTAAATTTGACATAAACTATTTTTGTATTGTTATAATATGCTTGCACAGATAGAGCCTTACGGGTTGTGCTTTATTCTAGTGTCTTTTTAAGTTTATTTAAATATCTCTCAAAAGGATATGCCACATATAACTGACATGTCCACCCCATAGCCTTATATTCGGTAAATTGAACTGAAGATGCTCCATAGAAGTAAGAAGCACTGGAGGAATATCTTTCTCAGTGACACAGAATGAAAGGAATTTGCTGCTGCCATAGAAACTCAGTTTTTTCACATATTATTTAGAGAACATAAATCTTTGAAGAATCACTTAGCTCGATCAGGGTTTGTGCCAGATCTTATGCTCAAAATATCTATTTGATCTGGCAGATAACTAAAAGCAGTTGATAGTAGACAGCCATGAAAATGTGACCATCATGACTTTTCATCCGAATATACTCCCTGATCTTTGTCTGTAACACACCTGGCTTAGATTGAAGAATATTCATCAGGTACTCCGTAGGGTCTTCACCAATTCCACAAATTAAGCCCGTTCTTGTCTATACCTTAGTTAATGTGAATTGGAGCTTTGGTTGGAGTTTTTTCACCTCGCACATCTTCATTTCAAAAGTTCGCTCATATAAATCTCCTTTAAAGTCATCATTGCTTTAGTTATTATCTTTGGATTTATCTTTGAATGTCCTATAACTGTATTGAAATGTTATAAAAATATTTTTGTTTCCTCCTCTATATGCATAACTATCAGTAAAATTCTTAATGTAGACATTTCTTAGGAATTTAGATTGGTATTAGATAATGCATGCACGGTTGTAAAAATATGTACCCCCACTCTTCCTTTGGTCATTTTGTACCTCTGTCTTTAAATACTTTGATGTTGACATAATTTCTACACCCTTAAAAGTCAAGTATGTTCTGAAAGAAAAGGAAGGTTTGTTGTTTTCTATTACCTTATGAGGAAACGTAATCACGATTCGTCTTCCTTTAATCTATAACATTTGATTTGGGCATGGACGTAGATCTGGTGTTCTACAGCTAATGTCCTCAATAACTATACTATAATCAAATTATACATGGTTTCTTATTATTGTGTGTCTTCTAGATTTAGATCAATGTATTGTGTTTTGTGTTGAATAAAAAGGGACAATGTGCAATCAATTACATGGATGTTTGGTTTATAATTAATACAAGATATATCTGTGCCCATCGCATTTAGCATAGCATAGAAAGTGTAGCGTAAATTGGCTAGCTCTGGTATTGAGCAATAGAAATGTGTAGTTGAGTAATACTACCATTGTTAAATCTGATTAATCTACCCAACCAAATCCTTGGGATTTTCAAAATAGGTCTCACATTGAATTATCGACGTGATTGATCTTGCGCCTATATGGTATCATTCAGAAACCGAACCCTGCCCGCAGTATAAGTTACATGCACCTGGAACTACATATTCTATAATTGCTTGTTTTAGTTATGAATGCTTGTTTTATAACTATATGTACACAATCGAACTCTATTTTTTACATCGTATAGATAAAAAATTAGTTCTATTACTATCAACACTATCTAAATACATAAGGTACGCTCTTTCCAGTCCGTAATTTATTAGTCAGCAGTTATCGCTAAACCGCCACTATCAAATTTAAATATAGAAGGAGGTCATGGTGGTAGAAAACGCTGCTAACAAATTTACACTCAAATATGTCTAATATATTATAACATGTCGGGTTGAGGAATTCCAGGGCTATTATCAAATACATAATGTTATAATACCGGCGTTTTGCTGATTTTTATTCTCCCTTATCCGTTACCTCTGACTCCCTTGCGACGAAATGCTGATCCCACCCATGTGACAACCTAGGCGCTCACTTACATGGGATGGGTCTGAGTTAATATCTGCGAACTTTTTCATGTATGGGAGTAAAGGCGCCGTCGTGCTCAAAGGATCAGGCAGCCTCGCCGGTTAGCTCGTGGATCGTGAAGCAAATCTTCTACCGCCGAAAAACCGCTGTCGCCGTCGCTGGGTAAAATCCTTTCGTTTCTTTCTTTATACGAACCCAAGTTTACCTTTTCACTACTCTCACCCGTTGTAGCTAACGCCGGAGACTTTGCTGTGGTGAGAAAGTCCATCTGGACGCAGGATCATTGTCGGAAGCCACTCACCATGGTTCTACTCGTGCATAAGGTGTTTTATGCCGAACGCTTATTTGCCTGCCCTTGTTTTTTATTGGGCTGCAATCCGCTCTAAAATTTGAAGTAAATTGTGTCGCAAACCTTTCGTTGATGAGCTGATTCTCTTTGTTACCTCAGTCGGGAATCTGTTACCTCGCAAGAATAGGCTGAGAAAGATGCGGGTTTAATGTCTTTAGGGGCATTTGAATTGAATTGACAGGTATATTGGAGGGTTGAATCATGCTATTAGGACTGTTTTGGAGGGTATTTGGTATGAGAAGCTTGCCTGCTTGATTTTTTTTCACTATTCTTCAGTTTATTTTTTTGGACAGCCCACTTCTATTTGAATTCTCGCTATTTGTTTTCCTCTTTTTTGGATATTTGTCCCATGCTTGTATGGCCACAGATGCTATCTTGTTTTCTTTTTTTTGGATAATTCTTGCTATCTATGCTTCTAAATTCACTGATAAATCATGCCCTTGTATGTTCAAATTTATAAGAAT